ATGTGTTCGATTCAGCTTGATAAGAAGCATAGGCATGCATTTTTTAGGTGTTTTATTGTATGTGATTCCAAGTGATTCCAGGTGATTCTGAGTGATTCTGAATGATTCTGAGTGATTCTATTGATTCTGTGTGATTCTGAGTGATTCTATTGATTCTGTGTGATTCTGAGTGATTCTATTGATTCCGAGTGATTCCGATGATTCTATCACCATAGAATCAGCTTTTCCCCCCTTGTGTAACACTCATCTCCATACCCACCCATCAACACCTACACACCTACACACCCACACCCCACACCCGTATTAGGTAATATTTCAAACTTTCAAATTTTCTGAAATATTTGTCAGTGTAAATAACTGATATATTTTTCTCGTTGTGTTTGCAAGCATATTCAATGTTTTGGGTCATCTTTTCAACGATTTTTCGACACATTCTTTCTAGAACTATCGCATACAATGTTCTGGAAAGACGAAGAAGAGGTGCTCCTCTATATTTATAACATGCTCTCTGACACCCTATTTTGAAATTTTAAACAACAATTGTAGCTTATCTATCCATCAAGGATGTTATATACTTTCTCACGGCAAAGAACGTACGAGCGACTCATTCTCTGTCAGAGAAATAGAATCTGTTATATATAACGAAAATCGGTGATGATTGAGAACGAGAGGAAAATACGAAAGATGACAAACCAGTTATATACTAAGCAATTCATTATAGCAGATGTCAGAGATATGTGGAACCCACTCCGTGGCGCTCTCACGCCTGTCTCACGAGATACCCACGGAAAACTGTTCCTAGCATCTTCCGTTGCGCCCGTTCCCCGTATAAAAGCATGTTTGTTCTGCTTCAACCGTTCTAGTATGAGTGGGCATGGATGATTCTAATCTTTACTCTCATTTGCATCCACATTCTTCCCACTCATCTAGCACCATACAGGTTTCCTAATTTTTCTACTACGACCTCTCGTACAAAAATATATACCAACTTCATTCGTAAATATTTATGGACAAACATTAATTTCCGAACATCCGGAGTTCGGAATGAAGTCAGACGAAAGGTATATCACTCATAGTATTTCTTACAAAAAACACATCTACGCACGGATTTTAAGATAAAACCCAATAGAAAATTTCGGGATAGTGCTAGGTGTGGCACCGTCTACAGGAGGTGCCCTATCCTCAAATAACTTTTCGAAAAAAACGTGGCATAGTGGTGCATCAGTATCTCTGATTTCCAGAGTATGTTTCACTGCTGTAGCCGCAATAACTTTCTCCGTGAAGATGCTACTTATACCACTCACTTTTTCTTGGCTTTGTGAACGACGTAAACCAGTAGTAGCATTATATAGTCCAACAAAATACTTTTTTCATCGATTTATAATATCCTCTTTACATGCTAATAGTCAATCCTTGGTGTTCATACTTGATCTAATAGTGATGGAGCTATCATTGTGAAGCCTTACAATACTCTGCCCGCATATCGTTCCACTTGAATCATACTTGGATTCTGATTATTGTCTAAAGCTCACTCACGATGCTGCTTTCGCTTGAGACACAACCTTTTTGCTACATCCTATGATTTCATATACCGTTGTCGGATTTTTACTATTGGACCTCTTATCCATACATGATACTGCTTACGTTTGAGTCATAACCTTGCACATTTGTTCAGCACATTATGGAATTTTCTTTTAACCAATGAAAGTGTCAATTGGCATTGCTTTTTACGGTTTTGCTACCGCAACAATGATTGCTGTAGAAAACTTCAGTCAATCGCTTGCAGCATTCTTTTTTTCAGATGACATCTGGACGAATGCCTCGTCGTTTTTCTTTGCGAAGGTTCTCCACACTTAATAATTCTATAAATTATTTCATCTTATTCTAATCGTTTGTGTCAACTTAGTACTTTATTGTTGATATGATAGGGATGCACACAAATTACAGACAATCATATGAAGATCATTCGATAACTCTGTCACTCGCTTGATGCAGACATTTATTAAAATATTTAGTACTTAGGACAATCCACAAGTAGTGGTAGAAGTACTGCAATTGCTTGTAGAAAGCTTTAGGAAACTTTCTTTCTATATAATCGAATAAAGAAAGGAATGTTCTATTTTTCTATGCTATATGATAATTATTCAACCAACAGGATAATAATAAACTTTCAATAAGATTTTCTCTGCCATGATATGTACCTGTTAGTGCTAGTACCTATTTAGTGAATTTCTTCTGAACAACTGGTGATAGAGACAGGATAAAGAGCTGCCGCTTTCATAGCTCAAAAGAAGAGATAAAGGTCCATTGCGTCATACATACGTAATAAGTGTTTTTAGTATAAATTCTTTAAAAGTTTTCAATCCATATCTTTCAAAACAAATCTACTCGTGATGACTTCACAGCGAATTCTCTGTTGTCAGATGTGTACTGAAACTACCTATCGAAGATCTACAAGATTTGACGAAGCTCAGAGGCTTCAAATTAATTATGCAGAAATTATAGGTAACCTACTAGAAGTTTTAAGTGATTTTTCTGGCAATTTTTATAAAAGAATGTTTTACTGTTCTCTTATTCATATGAAACCATTTTCCTGTACTTTGAAAATTGATTAAAACAAACATCAGATCATATATTAGGAAAACAGATAATACAGGATTCGATGTATCTGTATCTTCTCTTTTGAACGATGCCAGCCGCAGTTTTATCTTGTTTCTATCAGGAATTACTGATAAAAAAAATATTCACGAAATAAGAACTACTTAATACTATCACCACGAGACACAGATCATCGTGAAAAGAATCTTAGCGAAAGTTTATTATTCTAGTATTAGTTGAAAAAATGATGAAAGAGAATAGCAAAATAGAACATTCTTTTCTCTATCTGACTGTATAGAGAGAAACTTATTTAGAGCTATATTATAAGATATTACCGTAACTACGACACCATTTTCTAGATTGCTCTAAGTATATCATCCGACAGAACGAAGACATTGATTAGTGATTGCTGAGTTATTGTATTTCTTAGTTTAGACCAAGTGCACTTACATATGTCTTTGTGTTGAAAAAAGGTATTCATTATTAATAGGCGATTTCTTGTAATGAAATCTAGTAAGAGTACGCATTGGTAGTTTAGATCGTTGTTGTCGTTACATTCAATAACATCTTTCCATCTTTCTACGTCATTTTCAACCTGTACTCTGAAGTTTTCCATCAGCAATATAGAATCTGTTCTATCAACGCTTTCCAACACTCCGAAAACATCTTCATCAGTTGCGGCCTCAGAAGATTGATTCTGTCGTGAATTAATCCCCATGCAATAATTAAATCGGTTTATCGAGAACATTTGAGTATTTGGGCGTCTCCCAAAGTTTGAAGTAATAGATCAACATTTGAATAGAATAATGTTCATTCGTTTCTTAGCATCACCGTTGCATTTCCTTTGGTCATTGTTAATGATCGAGAACAGTCACATGTAACTAATATCTCTTGGCTTATTCAAATCATTGCAGTTCTTTTTCAGTTAACACTGTTCAATTTTTTGTATAGATGTTCGCATGACATTTTTTCGTTGATTTTGACCATATCTGCCGCTCAGATTGCAATTACTACATCACATCATTTCTCTCAGGTTACTCGAAGAGTGAGAGCATAGCTAGTTGTCTTCCCTTGATTGTTTATCGGTACCAATAACTTATTCAGAGTTTAACCTGAATGGCCTCTGGGTGCTATGGTTTCATGAATCAACCGACGTTCAGGTAAGGGCTATTCTCAGAACTAGCTTCAGGGACATGTTCTGATGTCCTCATTCGAGCAAGGTGTGAACATTGTTCTCTTTATATATTAAAAGGAGTTTCATAGAAAAAATCTAGCATAGTCCTGAAAAGATGTGAGCAGATATGTTTTTCTTGTCTTCTCGTCATACGCACTTGCTCAGAAATCAATCATAGATTTAAATATACTGATGCTTCGAATATAAACAATATTCTTTATGATAAAAAGGTTTGTTACCTACTACCGTGCATAATTGTTTTTGACTAGACATCTCTCACTATCGATTATACGAATAATCGTCTTTGGAAATTCAAGTCATCCTCTTAGTAACTGAAATCAAAGTCATGTAATAAGTATTTTTTAACTCTATATCACGCCACCTACAGAAAGCTTTCATGTACCAGTTTCAGATCAAACACAATTAGTTTCGATCTTCTTATATATATTTTCCCCTTATTATTCAAATTTTAAATATGTTGGGATTTGTTCGTCCATTATTGCGGAAAACGACAAACTTCTATCAAAACTTCAATTTATTTCCATCCATACCACCTTCAACTAATCTTTTTGATCTTCGTATTCAACGAATAGCAACACGATTATATATTTTATGCTTACTTCTTTCAACAACTACTATCATCATATACATTTCCTTGGTTAAAATCACAAATACCGTAAATGTTAATAAACCTTCTTTCAAAGAATATTTACGCTTACATTCGATACATTCGGAAACTTTAATATGTCCATGTACAACAATATCTATCGATTATAAAGCATTTCTTCATGTCGAACATACACTTCATCAAGTATGTACTAGTATTTATGTTACTAACGATTGGATAAATTACTTATCCTTATCATTTGACGATATTCCATATGATCCTCCTGATTTTCGATGGACAGGTACAAACATATTTCAAACTCTGAGTACATTTTGTGCCTTAGCAAACAGAACGATTTCTGACGGTTTGAGTCAGTTCTATTCAAATCGATATATCAGCAGCATGATAACGTCTTCTTACTTATTTGAATCAGAAATACAATCAATATTTGAAGAGTTTACAACGTTAAGAATAAGTCATTTCTTGCTGTCATTGAAAACTGTGAGAGATATAATTCAAGCCAATGTTTTACTCTCGGCAAAACAAACAAATATGCTGATATACTTTGTAGAAGGCTCTAGATTTGGATATCTAGTACCTTTGTCATATGACGCTTGTGATTGTGGCTATTCTGATAAATGCAGTATGCAATTAGGTATTTACAGCTATCCTAACTTAACTACATTGTTTTCAATAGCAGGCTTTTATACGGGATGTTTTGTTATGGAATCATTGTTACAATCAACTCTCGAATGCTTTTATAATCAAACATGTGTCGATGAGTTACGCTCATATTTGGCATCTAATACATCCCTGACTGTAAACGCACTTGACTCATTTTTACCAAGTCGCTTTTTTGAAAATACAACTATACAAAAACTTGTCGATGAATTAATGGTTGAACAATGGAATTTATCCATCACGTTTGAGAGTTATTATTCTGCTTGTCAACCAATAAAATGTACTTACAGTTATACAACAAAACATGATATAATTTATATTATGACTACAGTCTTCGGTTTAATTGGTGGTATGGTGACAATTTTAAAACTTGTTATACGATTACTAGTTAAACTTGTATCTAGAAATAAAAGATTATGTATTGCAACTACGGGTAAGGTTAGGTGATTGTAGAATAATCGTAAGATTTCAGTAATATCTATATATGCGTATATACATACACATAGGCCTTAATGCTGAAATGCATTTCCCGTTTGTTTTATTTGATTAAATTCATGCTGGATAAATTAATTTTATATTTATCTCGAAAATGGAGAATATCACACTCAAATTCGTAGTTTATCGAGAACTTGTCGAAAAATGTATCAACCATCAGCTTGAGATCTTCAAAAAGTTAATTGTAACTCTCAGTAAAATTGTTTGTTAACATCGTGTACTATATCGTATGAACTGTAATAGTTAGTTAAACATATGTAGCATCGTTTATCACTTTCCTTCAGTCATATTTTATTTAGACTGATTCTTCTTGAAAGTCAGTATCATTTGTACTATGAATCAATGAAAGATAGACCGTATCTTTAGTATTTATTGTCTAACAACTGTTGAAACTATAAAAACTTGCTTTTCGACAACATATGTAATATCCGTATCTATTGCTAAACATTCAAGTATTTCACAATTTGATCTGAAAAAGAAAAACAGATTTGAAATCTAATACTTAGCAACATTTCTTTGTCGTCGCTTGCTATGTCGTGAAAAATTCTCATCGTGCATGAAGCCTTCAAATTTCTAAAATTCTTTTATACATCTTTGCTTAAAAAGAGCAATGAAAAATTATGTATCTCTTTTCTTTTAAGACACTGATGTTCAGCAACAAAATTCTTCATTGTTTACCAAGTTAAAAAAGACACTACTACAATTTAACATGTTTCAATCTGTACCACCTTCTACCAATGAGTTTGACCTATTGAACGAACGAATATCAACAAGATTATTCATTATTCTTTTCATTCTGTTAACATCCTTACTTCTTGGATATATTTCACTAGTAAAGGTCACAAAGATTGCCAATGTTAAAAGTCCTACTCTCGAAAAATATTCGCAAATATATTTTCAACATTCAAAAACTTTGACGTGCCCATGTACTACAATATCTGTTACTTATGAAAAGTTTCTTCATATCAAATATGCGTTTCATGAAGTATGCAGTAGCATTTTTGTCACCAATGTTTGGATAAATTATATTGATGGTCGTTCTTCAAACGATATTCTTGCTGTGGATGATTTTCGATGGACTGGTCCAAACACATTTCGAGCACTGAGTGGATTCTGTGAATTAATAAATAAAACTATTTCTGAAAATTTGATTCGATTTTATTCAACACAGTATGTTAGTGCCACGACTACATCAACACAACTATTTCAATCAACAGCTCAATACTTTTTTGAACAATTTATTTCTTCAACAACGCAAAATCTACTATTGTCATTACAAGTTATACGAGATACAACTCAAGCTAATAGTTTATGGAGTGTAGCAGGTATACAGTACCGATTACAGAAATACAATAACTCTCGAAATCTATCATTAAATGTTCGCAGTCATTCTGGTTGTAGCTGTGATGATTCAGCAAAATGCATCCGACAATCATCTATTTATAGATATTCTGATCAAACTAGATTGTTTTCAGTACCAGGTCTATATGTAGGATGTTTTGTAACAGAAGCATTATTACAGTCATCTCTTCAATGCTTTTACAATCAAACATGTATCAATGAATTACGAACGTATTTAACATATAATTCCTCACTAATTGTAACAGCACTTAATGCGTCTATGTCAAATCGCTTTTTTGACAATTCAACCATCCAAGAACTTGTGGACGCGTTAATGATTGAACAATGGAATTTGTCTACAGCATTTGAGAGCTATTACAATGCATGTCAACCAATGCAATGTACTTATACTTATGCAGCTAGAAATGATATTATTTATATTTTGACTACATTGTTTGGTTTAGCCGGTGGTTTGGTAACAGTACTGAAGTTTATTGTGCCACTACTAGTTAAACTTGTAAGAAACAGAAAAAGATTAACAAAGGTACAGCCAGGTAAGCGAACAGGATATGACTTATTGATATAAAATTTTGTGATTTATTTACTAAAATTAAGATTTTTTCTAAGCAGATAAACACTATTTGTAGTTTATATGAATGTTGCTTTCCACCGTCATTCCCGTTAAATTCTTATCTAATTAAGTTTATTTATGTAAAAGTTTTCAAGCTTGAGTGTTATTTGTAGAAATGTTTTTCCGTAAAAAAAACTCAGTTTTATAAACCGAGATAGACTGGAATTCTTACTTGCTCATGATCTATTAATTACTTCAAAAGGAATCAATAAGATTCTATCACTGAAAATATATTTAGGACTTAGCATCATTCTAAATGAAATCCAGCAAATATGTATAACTTCTTCGAGTAAAATTTCAGAATTGATATTCGTTCACTTTATATTTGTATTTAAATAAGCTCATTGTTCAAGAAAAGTCCCACTTTCCGCTAGAAAAATTTTAGTTTTTTCAATTTTGAAGCTACAAAAATCACAAGTTTGCGACATTTTCTATAGGAAAAAAGCAATTTTTTTCCTGTCCTGATTTTTTACAAACCTGATTTTTGATTAAAAACTTGCGGAATCGTCCCTTTTTTCCGACACAATACATCTGATCGAGCTAAAACTTTTTCTTCAAGTATCGAATAGTGTTTTGAGTGACCATCTCGTTTTACTTTGAGA